ACCTGAAGAGTCATGTTACTGGCTTGCAGTGAGCTGGTAACAGATCTGAGCACAGAGCCTTTATGGAGAAGGCTCATACTGGTCTTATAACTTTATTTGCATTTCAGAAATGTTGTTCTTGGACACAGGGGTGACCATGTGGTGCCCATATAAAACACCAGAGCACTGGGAGAATGGAGCGTTACCTCCCTAAAAGGCTAATTCAGAGTAACAGTGATAGCACTGCGACAGAATCCCATCCCATCCCAGTCCATTTTCTGTGTTCCATGGATGTCCCCTGCTGTCCAGGAGACTGCAGTGGCAATTTGACCCTCTCTTTCTATTTGCTTAAGGAAGAATATGTGAGCCAACATGGATAACTGATAGCTCAGCACAAAAGGTGCAGCCCAAAAATCACACAAGGACCAACTGTGGTCAATGGTGAATCAAGGTCTGAGATTCTCTGAGCCTCGGAGGTTCAGCAAAAATTCCTCTGAGCCTTCATGCAACCAGTGAAATAGCTAATTAAGAATAGGCCAGTGCCAATTGACATAATTTATCTTACTCATCAGCAGACAGGTGTTATTCCCACATTTAGACACTAATAACCTGTGATTACTGCCTAGACATGTTCAATGGAGTGGAGAAGAGGCTAAAGGGGCCAGTTAGATATCAGGCTTTTCATAGCAGATTGTCCCTCTTATCTGTCTTCCCAAAGTGGCTTTAATTTACATCACTATATGGGCCATGATTTCCTTTGTTTTTTTATATCATAGCTTAATTCTCAAGTGAAGAGAATTTCCAAGAAAGAATTAGCTAGAGAAAGGTTGAAGCCATGACTTCTTTTAGTGCTTTGCAGACTGCGAACATGATTTGTCTGGAAGATACAGACATCTTCAGATTTCTTAGAAAGTGTAATTTGATGTGACTTTTGGTAGTAATAAGGACTGACTAGTAGTGTGACTCTTGCCAGAGATGATCTCCTGTAACATAGCCCCTTGGCTTCCGGAGGTTAGCCTATATGCAGTAGATACACTGGCTCAGAGTTTCTGCTCCAATTTCTGCTCCAGACTTGTTGAATTTTACAGAGGCTGGTGTTTTTCAGACAAGGGCTTATGCTCATGGTGCAGAGGGATGCTAATCAGAGATCATTGATAAAATCTGGCATTTCCTTTCTTTTTGTGCTTTTTTTTTTTTTTTTTTTTTTTTTTTTTTTTTTTTTTTTTTAAAGACCACAAAAGGCAACTTGTTCTCAGATGTCTTGTTTGGTGGCCTTCACGAGGACAGCTGTGAGGAAATCACAGCTGAACAGCAGCTGGCAATGATGCCATTGCTAATTTTTACAACAAAGTCTAGTGAGTAGCTTTAATGTGAGTAGCTGGTATGACTTGGGGAGGGGAGACCACACTGGGTCGCATTCCCTCCTGTGACTGATGCTGGGAACAGCTAGAGCTGTGCAGTTTCAGATGGACAGGAAGCGCACAGTTTGAAGTCACAGCAGGAAAACCAGCTAACACAGGCAGGACAGCTTATGGCTGTAACAGAGCAAATGCATCTGGGAAGTAATAGGCACTAAGAGCCCTGCTGCTTTTCTGGGATAGCTGGACTGCCAGGAAGCGCAAAGTGCTCACTGTTTTGCCTTGTGCAAAGGGGGCATCTAGGGGCCAGTCTGGAGAACTACTGGCCTCCATGCATAACTGCAACTAGAGGGAATGCAGAACTTCCTTTCCAAATTGCTGTCCTGGCCTCTTGCCAGGAGACTGGAAATTGTCTGTGATGGAGCTAGAGGAAAATGAAAGCATTCACATCTCTACCATGGATGACAAGACTTCTGCATTTCCCAACACGCAGATCATCTAAGCATCCCACTGTAGAGATGACCATAAACACACTTACTCTGAGCAACGCATGCCAACACTACATGCCCTAGAGTGCCTAAAAAAGCTAGGACAGGCATGACAAAGAGAGACATGTCATATAGTCCTGTAATATCGTCAAGTAATCAGAGACTTTAGAAAAATTTTCTGGGCACTTAGTTCCTTCTCAGTCACAGTCCTAACCATGGATCTACACTAATCATCCCGCTGGATATGTCCAACAGTCAATTTTGGTCCTGGTCAGAAAATTACCAGTTCAGTGCAGTGGTGGGGAAAAGCAAACATTCACGAAGTGAAGCTTTTCTCCTCTGATCCAGGAACAGCTTGTTTCAGTCCCTGCTGTGCATGGCATTGACTGCTCTGCTGTATTTCATTCCACAGCTCTTGCTCAGAAAGGGATGACTGGTACAGCTGCATCAGCAGACACATCCCAGATGACTACAAAGCTCACAACACTTCCACTTTTCACAGCAGCGTGGAGGTAAAAGGAGGCCAACTCTTTCAATGCTTGAAAGGGGAAGGGAGAAAGGGGGGGGGAGGGGACGGGAAGAAGGAGGGTTATAAAATGCAGAGTTCTTAGTGGCAAGACGTTCTTACTATTTTCATTTAAACCAGTATGCCAAGCTTAAATAACAAGGCTCATCACAGCTCATGGGACACCTCTGAAATGTTAATCACACTCTATACTCTGTGGTCTTTGCTTAAATAGGAGTTCTTCTGGAGGAAGACTGTTTTGTCCTAAAGGGTAACTATTTTGGATGAACTAAAAATAACTAAAAACTTCGTAGATTTTAAGAAAACAAAACTACCCATTAGTTACACTAATATCATACACACAATAAAGTCACTGCCAGTGCAAACCCCACCAGCAATATTCTAATTGTACCAGCACAATTGATGTATATTATTGTTATCTCATTCATTTCAGTTGAACTACTCCCAATTAAGAAGGCAAAGAATGCATCTGACAAAAAGTAAAAAAGCTATTTTAGGTTACACAGAACCCCAGTTTTACTAAATAAGGCTAATTGGGGAAAAAAGAGTGCTGGTGAGGCCACACCTGGAGTGCTGTGTCCAGTGCTGGGCTCCCCAGTACGAGAGACAGCTCGCAGGCTGAGAGCTGGGACTGTTCAGCCTGGAGAAGAGAAGGCTCGGGGGGGATCTCATCAATGTGTATAACTACCTGAAGGGAGGGTACAAAGAAGATGGAGCCAGGCTCTTCCCAGTGGTGCCCAGTGACTGGACCAGAGGCAGCGGGCACAAACTGTAACACAGGAGGTTCCCTGAAACATCAGGAATCACTTTTTCACTCTGCGGGTGACTGAGCACTGGCACAGGTTGCCCAGGGAGGTTGTGGAGTCTCCATCCTTGGCGATACTCAAAAGCCGCCTGGACTCGGTCCTGGGCAGCTGGCTCCAGGTGTCCCTGCCTGAGCAGGGGGGTTGGACCAGATGACCTCCAGAGGTCCCTTCCAACCTCAGCCATTCTGTGATTCTGTAATTTAATTTTTGAAGACTTCAGAAAGTAAAAAATGAATTAAAAAAACAAAACAGCATTTTCCTTCTGGCCTGAAGCTAATCTTCTTTCAAATATTTAACAAGAAAAAATTAGAAATTAGTTAGTATAGCAACCTAAACCAAATCCTTTTTCAACAAATGAAAAAAGAATGTTTTGCAGCTCTGCTTCTGATGTAAACCTGAATGTGCACAAGGAGAAATTTGGAGGAATTTGATTTTTCAGTGTTTAAATCCTATTTGTCTGCAGAATTCTAATTTCCTCATAGGAAACCCTGCTAACAAACAGTCCTTCAAAGGCACAAGCTTACGCTACTTGTGCCAAACACTAAGCTGCTGTGAACTGACAGTGGAGTACCCATAATACTTTGGTGCCAAACGTGAAGTAACACAGCTTCTTAGCACAGCTTATTAGATTGCGTTCAGTTCCACATCGACCATGGCTCCCGGGGCTTGGAGCAAATGCACCTGTACAACACTGCAATGTAGTGCATTCCAAGAAATAGGAACAGTGAATACATTTTCTAAAGCTGCTTACATATATTTGGATCAGCCATGGGAAGCATTGATCAGATGTAGATTGTGTGGGAGTAGATTAATCTTTGGTTTTACTGTTTTCTGTACTCTCTCTTTCCCAATATAGAACTGTCCCAAGGTATAATGACGTAAAGAGCTCAGGCCCTTTTCGATTGAAAGCTATAGAGCTTTTTATGGATATTATTTCAAAAGCTATTAATAAAAAGATGGCTTTAACTCATGTTCTTACCTGTAATTTGCATATGCAATGAATCAGATCCTTGCCTGATGTGGAAGAGTGTCAGTGCCTGACCAATAATAGATCTACATAGATTTTTACCTGTTGTGATTCTGGCTTTAACAGCACCATGTACTGATGAGCCACAGTCTTTCAGTGCTGAAGCAGCTGTATCTCACTTACAACCTGCATTAGGAATTAGAAAATTTGGGGATCTTAGCAGGTGAAGGTTAGACTGAAATGAGAGGAGAATTGTATATGATGGAGCAAGGCTGACTGAGTGTACTTCGGAAGTGTGGATACTTCTTCATTTGTTCTTGCTTGATTTTAAGCTAAGAGAAAGGCTTGGAATACCCTTGGGTGAGAGGCCTCCTACTTTGGTACCTGTGTCCCATGTCATGATGTGCATGAACTGCGGCTGTGACTTTACCCTCACTTTGAGGCGACATCATTGCCACGCCTGTGGGAAGGTAAGAACTGTACAAGCTTCTCAGGGAGGCTTTATTCACACCTCTAGGACACTGGCTGCCACTGCCATAACTTCTGCAAATGTGTAGCAACACCAAGACCAGAATTTAACTTCTCACAGAACCTGTTAGTGCATGCTAAATTAGGTAATTAGGTTTCTAATGACTCTAGTAGGAACAACAGTAACCTTCCCTTGAGGGTCAAATTAATTCCCAAAGACTAGTAGTTGAAGTCTTACAGGATAATTGTTGCCAAGTCCAGCCATTATATCTGACATACAGCTAGCTCTAGAAACAATGAAGCAATACACTAAAAATATAGGCTCTGTTCTGGACCAGAGCAGTAGCACATCTATAGTCCATGTCCTTCTCCTAATAACAACTGGTAAAATTATCTTCCAAGAAAAGTGAAGAAACCCAGCAGTAGAGCATGGTTTGGTCAGTGACCAAAGGGGAAGTTTCCTCTGTGTTCCATTGAAGAGCTGCTGCCTTTTGCCCTAAAGCCAAGGGAATCTATAAGCTTTCTTGGTTTTGTCCCTTTATCACTGACTCTAAAGATTTGTTTATACACATAAACCTGCAGTCCTGTTTTAAACCATGACTGTCTTTTAGCCTCAGTGATTTTTTTTTTTAATCAAACTATCAGTAATTTTTGCTAGTATGAAAAGGCATTTACTTAATCTTCTTTCTAATTCCACAGAGAAAATCAGTCTGTACCTACACAGGGATAGCGGGAACATGCGAGCTTGCTTAAGAAAACAATGTTACTAACAAAGCTATGAAAACAGAAGTAATATTAAAGTGGTCTTTCTGTGATTCACTAGTAGGGAAGGTATAAGTTCCTGGGGAGATGGGCACAGCAACGGTGTGCAACCAAAACCAGTGATCAATTCTGCTTGGCTTACAACAGTGTAAATCTACAGCAATCACATTTCAGCAGGTAGACTTACCCTGACTGCCACAGTTTTAGGAGTCATATTTGGTCCACTACCCATCTTCCTCTCCCAACCAGCTCAGAGGATTTGTTTTGTATTGCATATATATAAATTTAAATTATATTCACATACATCTCTCCTTGCTGGAACAGATTATATGTCGAAATTGTTCAAGAAACAAGTACCCTATGAAGTACCTCAAAGATCAAGCAGCCAAAGTCTGTGATAGCTGCTATGTGGAACTTAAGAAAAGAGGTAAGGTTTCTTCATTCTTGGCAAAACTGACAAACCCATTTCCTGCCTGTATAATGGGGAGGCTTTAGGATCTGCCTACCATGCTGTGTTTTGTTAAAGAGGACTTCTCATTTCAAGCACAAGGCATGTGTATTGAGGTCCCAGGAGTGCCACGCTGTATGACAGCTAAAACTGTTTTAGTAAGCCAGGTTCCCCGAGGGTTCCCCTGGCCTGTTGATAAACTAGAATAATGATAAAAATTTTGTCCTGTGAGGAGCGGCTGAGGACTCTGGGTTTGTCTAGTTTGGAGAAAAGGAGGCCGAGGTGTGACCTCATTGCTCTCTGCAGCTTCCTGAGGAGGGGAGGTGGAGAGGGAGGTGCTGATCTCTTCTCCCTGGGATCCAGGGACAGGTCACATGGGAATAGTTCAAAGCTTCTTCAGAGGAGGTTCAGACTTGACATTAGGAAACATTTCTTTACCCAGAAGGTGATCAAACACTAGAACAGGCTTTCTAGAGAGGTGGTCGATGCCCCAAGCCTGTCAGTGTTTAAGAGCTATTTGGACAATGCCCTTAATAACATGCTTTAACTTTTGGGCAGCCCTGAATTGGTCAGGCAGTTGGACTAGATGATCATTGTAGGTCCCTTCCAACTGAAATATTCTATTCTGTAATTATAGGTGATAGCTCTTCCCTGTCATTTCTAATGAATTATCCATTAAAGTAAAACAATGGCTTTACGGTTCCTCACTGTCGTCATCCATGCTGTAGCTTTTACAACAAGAAATGCTGAGGTAACGTGCAGAGTCAGTAAGAGCTTTTCTACATGGGGAGTTTATCTGGTTACAGATGAAAGCATGAATTCAAAGCAGAAGAGCTACTGCCTAACTAGAACTGTGTATTATTGTCCTACTCTATAAGTCCCTTTTCTGATTTAAATACACATCCAAATCAAAGATAAAAGGGGGAGGGCAGTGGTTACATATATATGAACAGAGAATGAACAGGAAATAATGTTCTTGCACAACTATTCATGTGGACAATCTCTAGAAGTAGGCACATTATATTGTCAAGGATAAAAAGGAGGGGACAGATGAAGTTTAGTTTTTCCATCCTGATTAAAGAAATTCACACTAGCCAAGCAAACACATGAACAGATGCTGTCACAACAACCAAAGAAGCATCCGCAAGCCACTGTGTGTCCAAGAAGCGATAACTCAGATTTGTGCTAAAACAACGCTGTACTTTACTAAGAGCTTCCAGATAATGTGTGTTGCCAGAAATGAGATCATGAAGATATGAACTCAGACAAGCGGGGGTTAATGGAGATTGACAGAGACAGAATAACTCTCTCCCATGCAGAACTCAAAGAGAATGGTTCATACAGAAAGAATGTCCAATTAGTGAATCTATCCTGCAAAGGTGTTACAGAACATAGAGGGGATAGATGGAAAAGCCATTTGCTTACTGCTGATTTTAAATTAGAAGAAAACAAGCTGTGTTTTGTGCTTTGTCAGCTTTCTTGCAGGATTCTTTCAAGTAGCTGTAGGTTACCACCATTAACCTAGGGTGCCATGAAACCCACCCATCTAATCAGACTTAAAGGGGTGATTTGAAAGAAAAGCTAAAATAAAAACCGGCTATGGAGGAAGCATTGCATTTTCCTTAGTCATTTGTGTATCTCTTACCCCTAGTCTAATATGTACCAATTCATCCATTTACCCCTTCCCTTTCTGAATTTTCTTAATCTTGCAGAGCGGCCACTAAGTGTGAGCTTCCCTCCAACTTCATCCAGGTGTTCAAGCAGTGCCTTCTCCTCTGTTTTCCACAATATTCATTATTCATCTTTTAAGAAACAGAAGAAGATCCCTTCAGCTCTTATGGAGGTAGGACCAAGCTGCCTGAGAAAGGCAAGGAACTGTAGAGAACTGTGCACTCATACTTCAGCAGCTATGTTTATAATTTATTCTGTGTGCAGTGGGCTCAGCCCATGCCCTGGTCTACTTTCATCATGCAATTATTTTTTTCTGTTTTTCACAATAGTGTTTAAAATACAAAATACTCTGAGCTCTGAAGATACCACAGAAGCTTCTTGAGCCCACTGAGAAACCCAGTTAGAGCAGTGTACTTTAATTTGCTCATCAGCCTGTGAAGTCTTTAGAAAACTAAGGTACTAAAGGTAGTAAGTAGTACAACAAGGCAGATCACAGACAGTGACAGGTATCAATAGAGCATGATATACTGTTGACCAGTTACCTTTTTTGACAAGACCCTTACTTCTGAAATCTTACTTTGATTTCAAGAGAAATAAAATACTGCTTACTTAGGGAATAGACTCTAGTCCTTGGCAATCAATTCAGGAGCATACATGTTTAATCAGGCACCTTCCCTCCAGCTCAAACCAAACTATTTCAAATCAAAGGGTTAAAATATTGATCCCACCAACGTAAACACATAAAATTCCCACCAATTTCAATGGGGCCAGGATTTCTCCAGCTATATTAATTTTCTTTCTAGGAACAAGGTGCCAATCATGTTGATGTAGTCTAGGTAGCTAAGTTGCCCATTGAACTCAAGCACACTAAGGTACTCCCATTTCACTGAAATCAGCAGGTATTCATTGTTGTATTAAAGAGAACAGGATGCAAACATCTTGCTGAACTCATTGTACAGTCGAGACACCGGAATTTCTTGAGGTTTGTTTGTGCTGACGTGAAACTGAGCCAAAGATACACGCATGTAATACAAACACACAAATTGAATACTGAAAGAACCGGCAGGCAAAATTTCAGCCCCATTAGGAAAAAAGCATTGCCTTTCTATCCACAAGGAGGCAGCACGTGTTTATTAATATGAACTGTCTCACAATAGCATTGCTCCGTAACTTTTTCTAACTTGCTTTACCAAGGTCCTGGAACATTTATGTTCTGCTGCAAAACACTGCTATATTACTGCTCAGTCTTCTCTTGTGTCAGTGCTACAAAAGCTGGTTTCGAATCTCTGCCCTTTGTTTCTAAATCCAATACTATTTCAGTTTACTGTTGTAACTAATAGTATACACTGCAGTGTGTGTGTGTGTGTGTGTATAGTTCCATCTACTCAAAATCTGTATCTTTAAGAACATTAAGCACTTAGATCTCAAAATACTTCTGTGAGAGGGGTAACTCTTCTCAGAAATATTATTTCACAAATGAAACCAAGTCATAGTGAAGTGATTAACATATGTTGATATAAAACCATTGCAAAATCCTAAATATACCCACATCTTAGAAGTGTTTAGCCACAAGACTGTAATTCCCTTTTGGAAGCATGTACTTTTAACGCACCAAAAAAACCAGACCTGGGAAAAGGGACAAGTTTGGCTTCTCAGAACACAACTGTAAACTTCCTGACCTCAATAACAACTCAACTGCGTATTTTCCATCAGAGTTACTGAGAACTAAGTTTAACCAGAAATCTTCAAACAGTTAAAAAGAACCATAATACCATGCTTATATTTTTTCTGTCTCGATACTTTTAATGGTCTACTTACGGTTTCACAGACATAGACCTGGTTGTCTGGTGTGATGTGAACATGCATAATCAGGAGGGGAAAACCCTTTGCTGTTACAAATCCTGATTTCTCCTACTTTGCTCCAGGTGGCAGCCTCAGGAGAGGGAGCTACCATCAGTGGTTACCTCAGCAGATGTAAGAGAGGCAAAAGACACTGGAAGAAACGCTGGTTTGTTATCAAAGGCAAAGTCCTCTACACCTACATAGCAAACGAGGTACTGTGCAATCTGACTTGAAATAGCTTCCTATCCGAGTTCCCTTCTTTAGTCCCTACAGGCAGCACAAGTAAATGTGAAAGGTATAAATGGTAGTTCTCACAACTACCTGCCTTCTGAGACCTGGTCCTAACAGACTGAGTCCCCAGGGAGCTGTCCTTAGCTGAGGTACCCAGCCACAGCTGTAGCTGGACCTCAGCAGCCCTCTGCACAAACTGCCCTTCATTATTTGACTTCTTGCTATTCATGCTATTATATACTGTCAACCACTGTGAGCCTTAGTCTACATATTTACACCTAAAGACTTCAAGGTCCTTAGGCATTCTCTGGCGCACTTGGTAACTGCCAGATATTTTGTAGAGAGATGGTGCTATGATCTATTTCTGGTGGGGAGGAGAATCTTGTAGTTTTGCAAGTATAAGTAGGACACATTTGTCCTACTAGTACCAACAGGGAAAGACAGGAGGCAGTCTGCAGAGGTGAGAATACTGCCTTGTGTATTGGCCTGTAAGCTCCTCCTTACAGCCAAGGAGGTTGGATATCAACTAGATCATTTTTATGTATTTTGTCTCTTCCCAGTCCCTTTCCTTATTTTAATTTCTTCTCCTTTGTGAATAGCTGCAATACAAATAAACTTGAAGTAAGTGTGATATAAAATTTGATTATAACTGACAGATTTCATAAGCAGAAGCATAAAAATTCATTTTGCTGAACAAAGGACACAGAATGCAAGAACTGTAATAATAGCAATATTTGGTACCTTAAGCCTTCAGAACACTTTGCAAACACCAATTATTTAAACTTTTATCACCACTGTGATGGCTGCATGAAGCAATATTATCCCCTTTAAACAGATGAGGAGATTGAGGCACAAAAGAGTTCATGATTTGGCCAGCAATTCAGACCATTAGCATCAAATTCTGTATCCAATTTACCTTTCCTCCGCTAACATTAGAAGTGATCATTTCTGGTTCAACAATAGGGAAAAACCAATGGATGGCTAATTACAATTTACATTCCGTTTGCAATTTAGCTTCTAAAAGCAGAGGCAAAGGCAACATACACATATAGAAAACATTACCTAAATACAGTGACCAAAACTGCAGCTATCAGTAACAGCTAAACTGCAATTCGATTAAGGCTTATTGTTTTCTTTAACTTGTACAAAGCAGTGTCTGGCAAGCAAAATTCATGGATGTTTCTTAGGAGTAAATTAACAAGTAATTGCATTACCAGCTCAGAAATTTCAAAGCAGCATTTTGGAAAGCAAGTCTGAGACCATGCAGATTTCTAAAAAAGTGGCTAGTGCTATGAAAGGAAATGACAAGGTACCAAAAAGACTACTACTTGCACTCAGCAAATAAAAACGGTTGAAAGGAACATAAATGGGAATGGGTCTCAGGCTTTCAGAACTGCTGCTGTACTGTCCCATACTCTCAGTAACCTCTAGTTTGCCTCCTGAACCATTATGTTAAAGATGGCCATTAAAGTAATTGCTAATTTGACCTTCATGGCCACGTGGATGATCATGAAGAACTGGACTTTCAGAGGTGGTGTTTGAGTTCAGGACTAAGACTAGATAAACATGTGCAGTACACAGGCACTGCTCCTGTTTAATTAAGAGACACCAGTCCAGCAGAAGATTCACAATACTGCTTTTGCAGCCCTGTCAGAGAAGGGTCATATCATTATTTGTTTTTCAGAAAGAGCCCTCAAACCGTTACAAGCCTTCTCTCTAAATTTTGGTTCCCTTCTTGTTTGCTTTCAGGACAAAGTTGCCACAGAAAGTTTGCCTTTGTTGGGTTTCACCATTGCCCCAGAAAAGGAGGAAGGAAGTATGGATACAGTTTTCCATCTCTACCACAAGCAGACTCTCTTTTATAGCTTCCGAGCAGAGGATAACAATTCAGCACAGAGGTACGGGGGTAAAATTCCACACTAGCCAGTGCGCAGGTCCAAAAGCTTATGTAGGGCTTTTCCCTCTCCTTCAATTCAGAACACCTTCATAACAGAGGTGAAACAAACAGCTTTCAGAGTGTTGATTAAGCCCAATTGCATGTGACTGGCTTGGGTGACATTAAAAATCTACCTGGTGCTTTTCAGTTCCTTCAGGAAGGAGAATTTGCTCCCTTGTATAGGTAACAAGGAGGCTGAGTCTCAAGAGTCATGCCTAGAAGTCTGTCAAATGTGATTACTGTACAGAAACTTGGATTTATGTGTTCTATTTATCCATCTCTTAGTTTCCTCATCAACAAATAATTGTTTAGATTTCCCACTCTAATGCTACTCCTTCCACATAATAAAATAGTCATGAAATTAGTAATAAAAATGCCAGCACCTCAAGACACACAGGGAAGGAAATGAGTGTTTATGGGAGGTTTTGTTGCTTTTAAACATACTTCAGTGGTTTCATTTTTCCTATTCTAAGACAGCACTCGTACTATCTTTGAGATTTTACAATAAATTACTGGTAAAGGTTGTACTAGAACGCAAGAGTCCTAGTACCCAGTTCCCTGCTTTAATCACAAAACTATAGTTCCTCATTAGAGCTGGGATGGGAAATAGAGTCCTCTTCAGGCTTTACATTCTTAAAATACTTTTCTTAAAATACATATGTTCTTAAAATGCACATAGAATTCTATGTACCACTTTTTCTTTCCTGTCCTTTTTAGGTGGATTGAAGCCATGGAAGAAGCATCCATATTATAGCAGCTATCACTCAATGGACTTGGAATAAATTGTCAGATTTCTATACATTCGCAGCAACCCTCTTCTGTCTTACAAAACTGAACAGTGTATTTCAGGCAAACTGGCTACATACACTGGATATGAACTGTTTCCAAATTGCTCTTTTTGCTTCCTTCTTCTTACATCCGCATTTTTGCAAATGGAAACTTTAAAATAGAGAATATTTATGGTGATCTTTGTCTGTGCAAGTTCAACCCATACTATAAGCTTCTCCTGTGATCCCACAGTAAACTAAGTCTAACATCAAGACAAGAAAATACATGGAAATACTGACTACAGTAAGTAACAGGCTCAGTTTTACTTACTCTAGAGCACTATCATATTTCATTGGGTTGGTTTTGATGTCTACCATGAAATGAGAAACAATGTAGTAAACAACAAATGCTCATTTAAAGCACTTTATTATTTTTATTGAACTACAGCTTCATTTTTTCATGTTTCTAAGGAGTTCTGTGGCCTGATTTATTACTCATCCATTAACAAGTGCCAGCATGAAATTATGCCCCGCATATGCTAAATTGCTTTCACAGAAAATGAACGAACAACACATTCGATTTACCTGGTCTACCAACATTTCACTAGCTATGATCCAGGATAATTACTTACTATCAATTTATAATTTTACACAGATCACGGTATAATTTATTTTAAAGGGTTTAATTTCATACCACTGCAGTACTTTGAAATGCACTCCAGTAGCTCTACAAATCCAGACGTTCAATAATTTCACTTCTCCCTAAATACTGCAGACTCAAACCCAAAGGTTATTTTTAATTTATTATAAACCTACAGACAGTTTTTATTTAACACTAGTCTACCTAGTAGTGTTACGATTTTTATCATCTATTTAAATAGTCTATCTTTTATTTTCAAAGCTCCTGTTGTTTCTGCTGTTCTTGCTATGAAAAATGTCATCAAAAGTTTAATCCATATAACCAGCGCACCATTTGAAATATGCTGGTGGGCTGAAATGCACTTATCTGAACCCGCTCTGCTGGAGTGCTTTGGAACTCCTGTGGCTAAACGTATCTTACATCAGACTACTGTTGTGCACTACATCGCCAGGGCTGGATTCTCACCAGCCAAGTGTCTGTATGACTTCAAAGATGCTGTGCTGCTTTACACCAGCTGAGGATATAGATCTCTGGAGTTTGGGGTTTTGGTTTTTTGTTGTTTTGGTGTGGGTTTTTTTGTTTTTAGTGTTTTGTTGGTTTTTTTTTTTAATAAAGAAGGTGGAGAAGTGGTGTTCTAATCATTGCAATAAAATGGTTTTGAGTCCTATATTTGTCATAATAATTGACTGAGGAATAGAATGGCATTTATGATTAAAATATAGCTTTGTATAAAAATACCATGTTCAAGAATTTACATACATTAAAATATATTGGGGGGGATTTTTATTACTTTCATTTTTCCCTTTCTTCAAGAAGCTTAATGGATATCTAATTTTTGACCCTAACAAACTGTTTAGAATTGTCCGCATTTTTAAAGGCCTATAATATGTATCCAAATGATAAAGGTAGTTCAGTTTATCACCTGGAAGAACAAGCTTAAAAACCCAAATACACACCTACCACTAAATAAAAAAATATAGTTGTTCTGGGGTTTTTTGATACATCCGAGTCTCATAGTTTCATAAAGCATAGGTTATCATATGCAAACAGAAACCAAGTATGAGAAAAGTAAAACTTTTGTATTCTTTAGTTAATGGATGAACACCAATGTTAACTCTTTGTTTCACATTAGAATCATGGCCTTGCTACCAATACACTGTAAATGTTTATCTCCCCTTAAAAACATTTTGCACTGACAAAAAAATAACAAGAATGTTGAAGATCTCTAGAGTAAGATCTCTAACCATGGTCCCAAACATAACAAAACCGCACTACAGAACAACAGTATTATGAAGATTAGGTGCTGACATTTAGTGACTGTTGTATGAAGTTTTCAGTTACAAGCAGGAAATGAGTACATGAAAATATTTTGTTGTAAAAAATAAGATACAGTGCTATTAAACATTGTTTTAAGTAACGTGGAAAAATAAAAGAGCAAAACATAACTGCAGTTCTACAGGCTTTTCCTTTACATTATTTTCCCTTCTTTAATTCCAGCTTTGCAGTTCCAGTTACTGTTAACAGACACTTACCTATTAACGAATTCTCTGATAAACTAAGGAAGAGCATCAAATCAGAAGATGGTAGTGGAGGCCTTCTGGTAGAAACAGGATTTAGACCTAATTGCTATGATGAAGTGTTTCAGTCCACACTGCATTTACCTCCTGTAAAACCCTCCTACCAGTCAAATCTACTTCAGTTACAGATATAAACGGTCTCAATACAGCACAAAGAAAGAGAAAAAATGAAAATGTCCTCTCAATTTCAGTCCAACTGTTAATCTAATCTGAGCAAAGCTAAGCACCAGAGACAGAAATTATCTTCATTTCAGAGTTAATCCAGTAATCACCTTTTAGAAAATTTTAACATCTTAGAATAGAGGTATATAGATACGCAGTTTACTATATGCCATTTACTTACAAACAGCTCTTTCCTCCTAACTTGTAGCTAGTATTACTCCTTCAAAACAAAGATTTTGTTCCACGCCTTCACAAATGTTTCAAAAAAAATTCAGTAGTAAGTCACAATGTACTAGCTACTCAGTCAATAGCTCAGATGCAAGCTGATCTCAGTTGTTATTTCAGTGGTTTTCTGCTTATTTTGCTACTTATTGAAAAGCATTAAAATTATTAGCCATTATCTGCAACTAATATTTAAATATCTATCTTACAGTATATGCCTTGTTAAAAATCTGGTTTTTAAACAGTTGTTAAATTATTTTTCCACATCAAAGTACAAGCCATTCAGAGTTGGAGAGTATTCAGACATGACAAGATCCCATGCCATTTACACAAGCACTGCTGGTCTAGCTGTGGGAATACTACCTTTCCGGAGCTGATTCTGTGTTGCTTTTACAATTGACGAAAAACACACAGCTATGAATACCAGCCAGGCTTTTCCTGTTTGTGTGCTACTTTGGTACCAAAGCAATAAAGACTACTTTGGCTGTAACCACGTTCAGTCAATATCACTGCTTGTGAAGGTAAAAAAAGTGCCAATACTCAGCGAGGGGAAAAGGTATTCCCTTGTCACTTTGTGAACCTCCTACATGCTACATTTAAAACACTAGTCTAACTTCACAAGTTACTTGGGAACAACATACAAACTTCTATGTATTAAAAACAGTGAGATCCTTCAGTCTGGATAACATTGAGACACCACTTTTGATCAAGTTTTGACAAAGTTTCTAGACTCCAGGGCAAGTTTACAATCCCTTTCAGAGAGACCCAAGATTTTTTTTTTTTTTTTAATTGATCTTTCCTAGAAGAACTGTTTCACAAATATTCTGAATGTTTTCCACAGAATAACAACAAACACCAGGAAACCTTTAAAGTGCCCATGAAACAGCATTGCCATTCTTTACCATGCTTTCTTTATATTATTATTACTAAATGACAAAGTTTTTACATTCTTTTGATTATTTTTATGGCTTTTTTTTTCCCCCCAGAGAAGTGTTGCAGCTTATTTCTAATCTATATGCTTTGGAAAGGCATGGAATACATTTTACATAAACATGCTCTGATTTTTTTCATCTTTTTACTTGTAGTACTTACATTTTTATGTCCTTTCCTTGCTCCTCTAAGATAAAAGAAACTGGAGAACAGTTTAAACTGCCTAGTAGTTGTCTCTATTTTCATTTCATATACTATATGCCACGTTATTAACTGTAGTACTTGCCAGCAGACAAATGTGATCTTAAAGAAAGCACAGGAACTGAAATTACTTTCCATCCATACTGACAGTTCTTAGAGCAGTCAGGTCCTGCAGTAATAATTGAGCATGTCGTATTGAGAGGTCACTTTATGTGAATTTTGGGGCAGGGTTAGGATTTTGCACTGCTTTTGCTTTTCACAGCCTTCAATGTATAGCAGTTGCATATTGTTCTTAAAACTGCTTTTTACAAATATTAATGAATAAAAAATAAATTTTCCTGTATGAAATTTATTAAATAAAATGAAAAACTCTTTCAAGGTTATTCTCTGCAAAATTTCACTTCAAAGTACAGCCACGACGTGATAAACACCAATGATTTCTTGGATCAACAAGTTTTATCTCCTACAATCAGAAATACAATTATCATGAGCAGCAGAGCGCGCAACAACAAAAGTACAGCAAGACTACACAGCCACTAGACTTCACCTGGATCTGAACCATACGCTTTCCCAGACTACACTGAGGTGTCAGGTACATGACATTTTCCATATTCCTGCATGCCATCTAGAATTTTTTTGCCTTTCTTCTGATCTGTCCAAAAACGACTGCAGCATGCTGGCAGGCCTACCAGCACGAATACTCTGCAGTCAGTGTGGGACTTCACTGCTGAGCAAGATCTCAAAAAATCCAAATCCAGTCATTAATACAAGATGATGTAAATCAGAAAAAAATATATAAATATATAAAGTCTGCTAAATCCATCAGCTTTCACAGCACTTGGTTCAGATTCCTACATTCCATTTCAGTGCCCAATGATTTATTTTTCGCCACAGTGGTGAGAAAGAGTAATTCTGAAAGCATTTAACCACATTAAAGGAAGCCTTAACCCAACTTTGGATTGTCATGAATTTGTATTTTGCCTCAGAAATCTTGAATCTGCTGTGTGTGTTCATTACAATGAAATAAATCTTTGCTCTACCACAGTTGCCTTCCTTTGTCTCAAATATTTTTAGATGACAAACTTGATTTAAAAAAAGGTCAGTCCACTTGTACTTTCACAAAGCTATAACCCATTACCAAAGAAAAAGACCATGGCCACGTACATGTCTGAATGTGCACACGGTATCAACTGCACAATGACCTCAGGACCAAAAGGAAGGCCATCCATCAAACAGCTTGGTGCACAAGACAAAGGGATCAGGTGAGCTCTGATGTCAATTAGATGGTGGAAAACAGCAATTGCTACTCAAGCTCCTGACGAATCAGCAAGTCCAGTGACGCTATAAACATGGCATTTCAGGATGGAGGGAAGTCATTGTGTTCTCTAGCGTTCTCAATATCCTCGTAGCATACTGTCTCAGCGGACAGTGTGTCCTCTATTACTTTAAACTAAATCTGACTGCACTTACACTCACAGGTTTGCTAGAGAGAAGTTTAAAGGCAAATGCCACAGATTGTACCCATACAGCATGGCATCTTTGTCCTTGCACATCCTGGAGATAGCAGCAAATAGCATATAACAAGTAAGATACAGAGACTTCTTTTAAGATGCATCTTTTACTCACTGAACAGTCCCCACTGCACAAGCAATACTTTAATTCTGACCACCACCTGAGCATTGTGAGCGTAAGGAATCACTCTTCCCTCTTTCCAGAATAAAACAGCATGTCATTAGCTAAATAACAGCATTTCCAAATAAACCAGTAAAACTATTCAGAACTCAGGTTGAAGTGAGATTTTTCTGCAGTCAACAAAGCCTAGAGCAGACAGCAAGCTCACTTTTTGCTAAGAGACAACTACGGAGAAATGAGGGCAAAATCCCCACAGGATGGAGGTCACTAGCTTCTCTCAGCACTGCCCAGCCATCTACAAACCTGAACACAAGGCACAAGGACTTGTACCTCAGAAATCATCTACTAACACTTAAAAGAGAGATTTAAATCGAATGTGGCATTAACAAGACCAAACAGTTTATACTGTTAAAATCTTCTCAGTCACTTAACTGTTTAATTCTTTCATGCTAGATATCAGCTAGATATCCCTTTGCCCTTAAAATTTACCTCGAAAGTTTGAGGAAAATTCTATGAAAGTTTTAAGCACCTGAAATGACAATTTAAAAAAATAAAATAAAAAAATCAGAGCTGTACAATACTGTCAATCCTAAACATTTAAAACACATGAATAACCTTAAATCCTGCTTTTACTTTGTACTTCTTGGCCTGCCCTGACTTTTGACCCCCTTTGTCCATTATGTACTTTTACTGCCAACACCACCACCACGACCAGAGAGGTTTTTGGCCTATGCCATAGGTACTCTTACAGCCCACCTTTGCATTGCAATGGTTCTCTCCTTCCACATTTAAAACACCCTTTCGTCCCTGTAAGCGTGCACATCTCCCATCTCACCTCTGCTCTATGGTGAATTCAACCTGTTCTCCTGGGTGAGGAGCAACTTTCACAGGGTCTCTTCCCTCCTCTTCTTGTATGGCAGCTTTGCAGAGCATTTTTTCTTCTGAGGCAACTATCCCACAAATGGGAGGAGCTAAAAGGTCCTTGTTACCAGCAGAAGTTTGAAAAAGACCACCACTAAAATCCTTTCTGAACCACGGCTGGGAGCAGCTGAATACTTCCTGACAGGAACCGCGGCCCGTGGAGAGGAGCCCACGCTGGAGCGGGGAAAAGTGTGAGGAGGAGGAAGAAGGGGCAGAGAGGAACCCCCCCTTCCCCCGTGCACCGCTCTGGGGACTGGAGGGGAGGGGGGAAGGTAGAGGAGTCAGGAGGGAAGGAGTGAAATTGAGCCTGACAGAAAGGGGCGGCAGGGGAAGGTAGTGTTTTTATTTTTGGCTTTCTCACCACCCAAATCTATTTTAACTGGCAACTAGTTAAATTTATTTTCCTCAAGTCGAGTCTGTTTTGCCTGTGACAGTAAGTGGCAAGTGATCTCTCTGTCTTTATCTTGACCTACAAGCTTTCTCATCCTATTTTCTCCCCCTGCCTGTTAAGGAGGGGGAAGTGAGTGGCTGGGTCAGCATTTGGCTGCAGTCCAAGGTCAACTCACCCGTAAGGTCTACAGATTTAATTATTTTCTTTGCTCTCAGTATAGTTATTAACCTTTACTTGTAGAGTAACTCAGTTCTCTTTGATCTTTTTCACCTCCAGCATCTTCTATTGATTTTCTCTCCAGTCACAGCTAAAGCCAAAAAGGGCCTATACAAGCACTTTTTACTAATGCTCTTTTCGAAGTCTGTGTATATAAATTTAGCAAATTTCAGCATTATCTAATACAATATTGCTTATTAAATAAGTTAAAGGCATACGGTATAGTTCTATATTTCCCTGAAGTTATTGCAAGAACTGCAGCAAAATTTGTGACAATCTTGACACAGCTTTCTTCAC